ACTCATATGTTAGTCCCCTATTTTTGTAAAATTAACAGCTCGTGAATGATTTGAAATAATACATTAAAGTTTGATATGTTTGGGGATCATTTTCTAATAGTGTTTAAATCTTTATCATTGTTTGTTGTTTTTGGTGTTCTGAACTGAAACCACCATTTACTGTTTTTTCACTAACAAAATTGTCTCCAAATGTGAAATTACTATTTTTTTCACAACTTTAGCATAGCTTGAATTCATATAAATATAACATAAAAATTAAGAGTTAAAAGATTTTGAGATTTGTCTAAGAAATTTAGTAAAAATTAATAGAATCAAATTAATACTGAATAATCAAGATATATTATTAAAAAAATTAAAATGTCATTTGAAAATATGTGATTACTTTGGAGAAAAAAAATACAAATTTCAAGCTCATAACAGTACTGACAATTTCATGCTGAAGAAGCTAATAAAAATGACAAAGTTCTGTTGTTCAGTATTCTTGATTTACATTGTAATTCTAATTTTTGATGTTTAAAATCTTTACCCTTTGTAAAGAATCTTCCACAGTTTTATTCAATGTAAAATAATTCATGTTAAATGCAAAATATTGAGGACAGCAAACATCTCAAAAACGAAAGGAGAAAGAAAAAATATATAAAAATAACAAAGAGCAAAAAGAGAGAGAGAAAGAAAGAAAGAAACCTGCTGATTGATTATGATGTCATTTATAAGTAACATGCAATAAAAAAAAATGACATCACTTAACAGTATTAAAATAGTTTTAATCTTCTCTATTTACCAACTGCTGCACAAGGCAAGATGTAGCACAAGGCCAGTTTTTAACATGGGGCATTCCAAGCCCATAGGCTCAGGCAAAAATTGCCCATATACATGGAGTTGGGTTTGTCTACTTCCACAAGTGAGACTCTGCCCTTCAGCATAGCCTCATCTGGGCTCCTCTCCACCTGGAAACAGAGAATTCAACAAGAGAGGAAGAGGAAGCCCCCACCCTCCCATCTGTCAATAGTTTTAGCCTTTACAATTATAAGGAAATCATAATATAGAAAATATGAGATCAGGCCAAATGTATAGAAATACACTTTAAATAAAAGGTTTAGGGTGTAAATGGATTAGCCTGCTGTATTTCTCACCTAGTGCTGTTGTACAGGTGAAAAGTTGGGCACCTTTGCACTGTCCTGGTCAATTTGTTAGGGTTGTCCACTATTGTCCCTACTTTATGCTCTGGTGTTGGAACCCTTCCTATGCAAACTGAAGGATAGGGCATGCAGACCTTACATGGAATTGGTTTCCCTGGGAAAGCTTGAGCCAGAGTTTCCACATATGCTGATGATATACCCATTTTTGTGTTGTGCCACAGTGACATTGAGGTGGTGCAGAAGACACTTGAATGGTACAAGAAGGTTACAGAGGTGAAGATTAACAAGTCTTCTGGCTTAAGTTTGGGCACTTGGGGGGGGTGATGCACTTCCAGGCCCCTTCAGTTGGACTGACAGTTCTGCCTGCATTCTTGAAGTGTAGTTCAGCTGGAGAAGAACTGTCCAGAGATACAGGAAGTTCTTGGCTCCTTCTTTTGTTATGGTTCTTTTCAATATTCCCTACATCCTAAGAGCTTTTTTTTTTTTTATCTTGATTGGACCAGCCTTTTACATTTTCCCCACTTCATATTCTCTTTTGCCTCTTTACTGCCATTAGCAAGCGAACTTCTTGAATCTGTCTGATGGTAGAATACAGTGGCCATTCTTATTTCTGTGGGGTAGATGATACCTTATTAATAGTCTAATTTTTTTAAATTGTTTTTTTTTTTATTACCCCTGGCCTTTTATATATTTTTGTTAAAAAAAAAGAAAAAATAGAAGAATTGTACATATATGATGGGTATATTATTAGGCACTTTGAACAATTATCATATTCATATTTCTATGATCTGAAAAAGAAAAAAAATAATAAAGTAAAAATTCTGATCAAAATTTGGGAGTTTCTTCTATTTTGTAGCTATGTACCTAGTTTTAATGTTTTTTACTTGGTTCAATGAAATTAAGCCATTATATTTTTTTAATTTTCATTGATCAAGTTCCATCAGAGAAAATCTTAATTTGAATTAAATGTTCATTGGAAAATAGGAAACATTTAAAAATGGAAATTAAAACACTTCACAAAAATGAAAATTTGAACAAAAACAGATAAGCAACAATATTATTAAGTGCAAAATATTTTTTACTTTATTAAATTTGTACAAGTATTTCTGAAATTGAATAGGAGTGTTATAAACATCAAGTTTGCATGTGAAGAAAGATAATTTGAACAAAAATGTTTGGGTTTACTTAGAGAAATAAAGAATAAAGAATTTATATTTCTATCATTGGAGAATAAAAGTGTGTGTTATTTTTATTATTTTTCTTAAAAGTCATTTTAAGTATCCCTGAGTAAGAGATATAACATGGTAAACATCAATTGCTTGCTTGCTTTATTATAATACAATAACAAATGAAAAATTATAAGTGGACAGTAGACAGTTTAGAGTGCTAAATGCTATACATTATCCAGTTTCAAATAGATTTAACAAGCTGGATCCTCTCAACTTATCAGCTTTAGATAATTAAAAAATGACAAGGCTGTCACAAGAATAAAATGGGTAAATTTACTTAAACTATTTCATGAAAATTACAAAATGTTTTTTTATAAATTTTCCAAACACTGGAAGTCTATGAAATTCAGTAAGTGAAAAAAGAAAACAAAATCTAATCAGAGGAGTAAACACATGATTTGAAAAAATGGATTTGAAGATGTTTCAAATGCTGTAAGCCATGCATATTTACTAAAATAACACTTATTAATACTGACTCAGTCAGTAAGTTATGCAGGATTTTGTTTCTATACACTTAAGGCCATAGCTCTTGTTCTTTTGACAATATTTAAATATTAGGTGTGTGCAAAATTTTTTACCGTGTATTCAAGTAAAAAAAAAAATTAAAAAAAAATGTGAACACCACCAATAATTTCAAATCAAAATAAACATGTTATGTATTTTCATTGATGAGATTCATGTTTAGGCATTCATCTAAATGATTATTTACTGTTATTTCAGGCACTTTTTTCTGACAAACAGGACAAGCAACCATCGTTTGGGATGCAGGGGATTGAGATACTCTGTCTGATGAAACCGTGTAGTTGTCAATAACAATGAGATCGTCCTTAGGAGATTCTTTATTTGGAGTAGTAAAATAATTTTCTAAATGATTTGATTGGATTTTTGAGGATGATGATTTTTTAAAACTGGCTCCAGATGTTGATTTTTGTGGAGATTTTCTTGCATTTTCAGTTGTAAGAGAAGAAGAACTTGGATATTTTAACATCTGAATAGGCTTTTTCTCAGTTTCTATTTCACTATCAGAGTCATCACCAAATAATTGTGCAAATAATTTTTCTTTTTTCTTTTTTACTTGTGTTTGTTGGTCTTTCGGTGATGAGGTGAATATTTTATCTGTGGGGGAAGCACCAGAGGTAAGGCTTTCCTTTTTTTTATATTTGTCAGAATGTGTGGAGTGTTTTTTATCAGGAGATAAAGAAGTAAAATGTTTTGAGTTGGAATTGGTTTTAGTATGAGACACTTTTATTTGTTTGCATGGAGAATGGGACGGGCTAGAATCTGTGAACCGATGTCTTTTTGTAGGAATCTGTGAGGGGACAGAATTGATTTTTAATTTTTCTTTATGATTTGATAAGCTAGTATCAGTGGGTATGGTTTTTCTTTCTTTATTTATAAATGTAGGAAAGGAAGAAGAATTTGTAGGTGAATATTTCTTGTCTTTATTATTAAGTGATGTTGAAGAGTTAGAATCAGTACTTGATGGTTTCCTTTCCTTACTAAGGCTTGAAGGAGTGGTGTGTAAATTGTTGATTGAGGGCTTTCTTTCTTTATTTGAGGAACTGGGGGAGTCAGATGTTTGTTTAACCAAATTATTTAATAATAGAGAATTATTTAAAGATTTTTCTTTTGATGAATTAGAGTCATTGAACAAAGGCTTTTTTTCCTTATAGGAAGATGAACTGAAAAAGTTTGGATTAAGCCGTGATGATACATTTGAAATAATAGATTGATTTTCAAATTTTGATGAAGAAGATTTTTGCTTATCAGGTGAAGGATCAGTGGAACTGTCGAGTAAACGTTTTCTCTTTTTCTTGAGAAGAAGAAGAGATGCTGTTGTATCTTTTTTGGTAAGAAATGAAGACTTATTTGATTGTGGTGACGATATATTCCCAGAATTGTCAGAAGATGAATCAGTGGAAGTGCTTAGCAGTGATGTATTTTTTTTATGAAAGGATTCAGATGCAGATGAATGCTTCCTCTTTGGTGAAACACAAATATTAGAGTGATGAGATTTCTCATGTTTATCAATGGATTTAAATGAAAGTTCCATATTCTTCTCAATAAAATTCACATTGCTGCTTAAAAAACTTCTTTTGCTCTCATAAAGATTCCTGTCTTTAAGTGGTTTGCTAAAGTCCCTAATGGAAGATTGAGAAATTTTGGGGGGTGACTTTTGCTCAGGATCTTGAGTAATTGTTTTGATAGGAAAGTTTGTTTTCTTTGAGATTAAAGTGGAATTCTGATTGTTCTTTGATGATACAGGTTGTGGAGAGGGGCTTTCTGTTAAGTCTACATAAACTAGTTTTCTTTCCACATGATTCTTATCAAACTTATTTTTGGTTTCAATCATAGAATGGTCATTTTTTCCTGACAACTGCCGTCTTCGTTCCATATTTTCTTTGTGCAGTTGTCCCAAGAGGTTATTTATAGAGTAGTGGTTGCCATTTGTTCCAAGAGTGACACCGTTATTAGTGAAACTACTTGATGGACTTTTATTAATGGTACTGTTCAGAGGAGAACTTTTTGTTTGGGATAGTGAAGAAGAATTGTTGGTCTTTAAAGGTGTCTTTGAGGAAATTCCATCTGTTTGTTTTTTCTTCCACATGTCAGTGAGTTTTGGTGTAGTCACAGTAGACACATGATTGTTCAAATTGTACTTCTTTTTGATCATTGATAATAAATTTCCATTCTTACCAAGACCTGAAATAAAAACTAAAAGGTATCAGAATGTAAAAGTACATATTTAATTATCATTAAATAATTTTTAAAATTTGCAAACAGTAATAAAACAAGTTAAAATTTTAATCTTGAAAAGAAACATCACTTGAAATCACAAATTTGTATTGCTTTATGGTATTTTTTTAAACATAAGTTTCAACCAAATATATTGTTTTCCAACTTTGTGATAGTCAGGGTGATTACAAATATGAAATTGGTTCTTTTTGTCAATAAATCTATTTCCTAAAATACATCTATTGGATGCTTTATTACACATCAACAGTGATGTTTCTAGCTGAGGTTCATTAGGGGTTTCAGGTCTTTCAACATCATACACACTCTTTGTGGGGATCCAGACAATACTGATACTTGTGTGCCATCTGTCAGCTACAATTTCCTCTATTTTTTTAATCACTCACTGAGACTTCTCTTGGTAACTTATAGTCCAATCATGGATACCTTCTGGTTCATCAGCAATCTACGCTCTTCCATAAAAAAGGAATCAAACGCACTAATGGTTTCGATCTGGCAAGGAACATGGCAATGTGCTCAGCTTGAAGTAGTAAGTAATGTTTTTGTTTCCCCTCACTGAGAAATATATACATGCACACACAAACAGACACAAATCACATACAGAAATGTATAGGTACATCAATAAGTCTGCTGCTTAACAATGAAAATACTATTTTGAACAATGAATATTTATCTTTCAATATAATCTTTTCCCTTGTTAATGCACTTAACTGAATGTATATTATAGATCAGACATTTTATAACTAAAATTTCAGATAAAAAATAAGCTAATAACTGTGTTAAGCTCTGGATTTATTGATTGCCTCTTCATATAAGATTTTCCCTTTTTAGCTTTAATTACATGTAACATTTATTGTTTTAGTTGGTTTACTATTGCTTATGAACTGCAAATGTGACATATCTTACAAGTTCAGTGAAACATAGGCTAAATTAGCAACAGCAAGTAAATATCCTTATGCATCATAGTCAATTATCTAAAACCAAATTCTGGTATGTTTTAGATCCTACTCAAAGACAATTTACCCAAAGCAAGGTGATAATCCCACTAAGATGCAAAGGGTTACTGGAAGTGAAAGAGAATGAGAAAACTTTAGAAGAAATTGAAAACCCAATCCTAAACATGAAACAAGAGATAAACCATTATTCCTGTTCAAAAGACTGGTGAGGAATGTGAAAGGTGTTATACAAATAATATTTTAATTTAAATAAATTAAATGAGCTCTAACAGTATCAAATTATATGCACTGGTTATATCCTTCTTTTATGAACAAGGTACAGAATGACATAAATTAATCCTGTTGATCACATTGAATATGCACCAATATTCTGAATAATGAAATTTCAGTGAGCTTGTCATAAGTGAATCTATTCACTTTCAGTAAAAAAAGAAAAAGAACCTGTCAACAACTTAAAAGAATAGAACAAAAATATGTGTAAATCAGTAGCAATGATACATGTATATTGTTAAAACACTGATGATTTTATTAAACTAGTCATACTATATGCTAATAATATACCAATGATAAATTTCCATTATTACCAAAACCTGAAACACAATAAAAGGTATTTATATAAGCTAAAGAGTACATTTATATAAGAGAATGTACTTTAACATTTTGCAAAATTAACTGTTGTCTATTTTGTCAAAAAGGTTTCTAAGATATTAAAGTAATGGAATGGTCCCTATCCTCTCTAGATCTTAATCCAACAGAAAACTTGTAGTTCTTCATTAAAAAAAGATGTTTATGAGAATGGAAAACAATATTCAAGCCAAGAAAATCTCTGAAGAATAATAAAACTGATACGAATAATGTAAAATCAGTAGAAATTTAACAAAAATCAACACATAAAAGACTGCTGAATGTCAAGGAGACCATATTATTATATAAAAAAATAATTTATTCAGATATATGGAAGACTGTGTTAATAAAATATTTTTTATTTTTAAATCGGTATCACCCCATGCAAGGTAGTAATGTCACTAAAACACAAGGGGTTACAGGGTGTGGGGGAAGAATTAGGAAAAGAAACATTAACAATAAGCAGAAAGAGAAGAGAGTAATCAGGAGGACAGTAGATAGCGATTGACATTGCATTTAAATTTTTGCAGATTAAATTTGTTGGAAAACATAGAACTGGAAGGGAATTCCACAAGTGAGAAAAAAACTGTTAGCATAGAATTTACAGCCAAATCTAACCAGTTCAATTGTATATTGAGATCTCGATGCCAGTCTAGTACTGTGCTTAAATTCAAAAACTTTAGGTACCATAGTGGAGAGCAATATTTATTTGAGCTCATCCAAGCAATTACCATGAAAGTATTTATGGAAAAGACAGAGAGGCAGCCTTACGGTGATGGGTAAGTGACTAAAGCTGAGCAGCCAGATCAGGACCAATAATATTGCTGATTCTTTTTTGGATCTTATCAAGGAACTCAAGGTAAATACCGGACCAAATGTGGCAGCAATATTCTAAGCATGAACAAATAGACTTATAGATATGTAAGAAACAATACCGCATGGATTTATGGATAAGTAAAAATTCTTGTACTTTGATCAGAGAACAAAATCTGACCTACCCACAAAGTTATTACCAATATTCTAAATAATGATAGATGTTAGAAGCTGAATATGCTAACATGAGACTATATACTGATATAGTATATATTTTTGTTAAGCATTTAATTCTTTTTGTAATCAATGCATAACAAATTGGAGGTCAATACATGCAAAAATATGATCATACAATTAATTTTTAAATAGAAATGAATTTGAATTAATATTAAAATATATGCCCACAACTGATTGATTGATTGATTGATTGATTGATTTGATATTTATGGCTCATCAACACTTTGTGGGTTATTTAAAGCTGAAAGATATTTTTTGGATTATAAGAAGGATTTTTTTATTTTTGTGAGTAAATACTGCATTAACAATTTTTCAAGAATAACAATGACAAGTCTTACCCATAGAGATGGATGCATACCTTTCCCCCAAGAGTATGTGTGCATAAGTGAATATAACAAACCCAACAAGAATTTGAACTCAGCTTTCTGTTTTCTCATGCTGAGCCATTATCCATTACACCACCTACACTTCCTATATGTCCAGGAAGTTAGTATTTGTCTTTAGTGATAAAGAACTGAATTAAGTCATCTCATTCCACAATGACTAAAAGGTAAAAGTCTTGCAGAAAAAACACTTTGAAAATTATAAGAGAAACTGTACCTCATAATAGATACAAGCTTTTGAGTCATGAAAATCTTAATAAAATCAAGGAGTTGCCATTGTTAGGCTATCAGCAGTATACAACTGTGGATCCATTTTACTATGACACATGTCTCTAACTTAATATGTAAGTTTACATAAAGTAGAGTTTTAAATTTTCAAACTGACCCAATACTCATAGCAATAAATAGCCTCAAAAATACACATAGCAATAAATAGCCTGATGTATAAATGATATGAGTTTTGAAGGTTAAAAAAACAGTTATAGTAAAGCCAAATATTCACTAAGCAAATAGGTTTGACCTATTTTCCTTATTTAGTTATAGTGGGTGAGAAGTTGTTTGTCATTATGATATTAATTTTTAATAGCAGTTGCCAAAAAACACACCAAAACAAAAAAAAGTCATTATCAATCTCATTTCTATTTATTCATCTCCACACAACAGAAATAAACACACACAAATAGAGAAAACATTTTAAAGTTATTAATAAACCAAATAAAAAGTTTTGCTTTTACTGAAGGAGAAAAGGCTTACTTTTTTGTAATTGAGCTTCTTTTTTCTTGCTGTAGCCTTCAGGTTCTTTTACTTTGATATACTGACCCCCACAAGTCTGCTGGTGTTGTGCCCACCAAAAATCATTCTTGGATGGTGCTCGGTTTGTAGCTCGCTTTACCCAACCATAATAAGGTCTCCAATTCCGACAATGTCCATTGCAGCGCCACCAATGCTGCTTGTGAAGATTTACTTCATCATGAAAATTATGGTATACCTAAAGGAAAATAAAGAAAATTTTAAACTAGCTCTCAAAATTACAGCATTTTAATATTGATAAAAAAATATCTACACCAATGTTAAGTGACTCTTATAAATTTCTTAAACCAGTTCATCTAATTTTGGTTTTGAGTTTTCTTCAAGTTTTAATGCTCCTAATAGGCTTAAAATAATTCAGTTTGCTTTCTAAAAATGTTACATTTACTTTTTTTAAAACACTTATTGATAAAAGGGGAAATGATGCTAAGGGCCACAAAGTATAGGGGAGAAATGATCACTCATGTCTTGAAGGAACACGGTACATAGAAGTAGACTGTGTGAATGAAAACAAATAAGCAGCTTTAGTGCCTCATTTTGTTTGTGTAATGAAAATTATGTATTGAAGAAAAGAGCTTCTAAAAAAAAAAAAAAAAGAGAACATATAATTAACTTATTGATCAATTGCTTTGAATTGCATGTATGCATAGATCTGAAATTTATGAATGGCAGCACAGGCTCAAGAAATTAAATGCTTTACACATCCAGGTATAAAAATAACAGATTAGTAATCCATTATAAAAAACAAGAATTCCTTTATGAAAAGAAAAAGAAATAGCACTTATACTTACTAAAATCTATCTAAAGTGAAAATTAAGGATTTTGTTATTCAATAATTACATAATTTTCATTGATCTTCAGAATTTAAGACAAAAGATTGATAAACTACTCTTTTTTTTTTTATAGAGTAACTTTCAAGAGGAATCGCTCTTAAACTCTTATCTTAGACCTTAGTCATATAACTTGACAGCACCTAATCTAAAAATCATTTTTAAATGCATATCCCTTTATATACAGTTATGTTTGGTTTGTTTTGTTTTACAGCATATCAACCTCAATGGGTTATTTAATGCCGACAAGATTTTTATTGATGGTAATATTTTTTTTTGCAAAAATGTATTGCTGTTAATATTTTTCTTTTTCAGAAATGTACTGCTGGTAATAATTTTTCCAAAAAAATATTGCTGTTATTAAAACCTATTTTTATACTTTCATAGTGTTTTGACCCTTTTTTGGGGTGGGTGGTTAACTATTTGCCCATAACTGAGACCTTGATAGGTGCTACCACCCCGAGTCAGGGTGGATCTGGGAACATCAGCAATTAAGAGGTGGTTCCATGCTCCTCAAAACCTGATCAAAGGCCTTGCTGTTGGATGTAGTTTGTCTTACCCAGGATGGTACATACAGTTAGAAATCATTCTACATGGATTATACATATCAGCTGCATTCAATACATGCACATTTAAATTCTAGCTTCTTGAAATAAGAAATGAAATTAATCAAAACTTTTCTCTTTTGTAATATAACATTAAACTTGATAATGACTAGAGACAGTAAAAAAATACTCAAAGAAGAACATTATGAATTTTGAACAGTTACTTTATAAATTTCATCTGGATGTATGGTTAACTCATACACAGACTGAAAAATGTAATCAAGAATTGAATAGATAGAATTTGTTGGTCAAACATATTGGAGCATACATAAATGATACCACAAGGTAGAACATCAGTGTATATGGATTTTTTGGAGTCCCGCTCCTTGCTAATAAAAAAAAATCATCTTTTTATTGAATTTAACAAATTTTTTTATGAATATTGAATTGAACTTTTTTTTCTTTTTTTTTTTTAATAAAAGGAAAACTATTTTTAAAGTAGAATTTTCCTTAAAAATGTCAAAATTGGGATTGGGGAAAAGGACACTCTTCTTCTGTCTTAACTTTAAACTTAGCTAGCCACAAACACTGACCCAATCACACAAACAATATTCCTTACACCAAAACAACACATTTCTTATGTACCTTTCTTACTGCATCCATTATAATACCTCAATGTCTCTATGAAAATCCTAACTAGTCCCTATATGTACAATTCATTGTCTGTGGGGGGAGGGGAATAAAACAACAATTTAAAAAGCCCCAAGGAGTATTTACAATATAAATACAATCTATTTACATGAAAATAAACAAAATAATGTTAGTAATATCCCCCTCCCCATCCTTAAATGTGTGGATGAAGTCAATGCGGGATTATAATAATATAAAACATTCATTCATCCCAAGCACTCACACAGACATGCACTCATTCAGACACAACAACAAATATGAAAACACACACGCGAAACAAAAGGTGCTCCGCATCCACCAGAGAACTGATATCACTGAGCACCTAATGAAGGAGGAGATGGGGAATAAAACTAAAGAAAAATAGGGACAGAAATAAAATGTATTTATTTATTTGATAAGCAGTGTCAAAAATGAAACTCACGGATATAAATAGCAGTTATTTTGACAACACAACTGCATATGTGCACATGCACATGTGTATACAGTATACACACAGAAACAATCAAGAAATAAACCTATATGTAAAACATTTCAATGACTAGCAACAAATTTTCAACTATTTCTCTTTTTAATACACAAAAGTGAGATACAAATTCACTGGCATTTTTGTCAGTTACTTTTTTAATTTAATCTTACTAATGTAAACTTTACTTACTATTTTTTCTTTACTTAGGACTTCATAAATTTCTGAAATTTTGTCTTTGATAAAAATTAATTTTCATAGATTTCAATAACAATAAACACCTACTTAGCATCTTTTATAAAAATATATATACCTTGCAAACCTTAATTTTTAATGACAAGACATTTTTTTACATTAGGTGTAGATATTATCAATCAAGAGTATTGTGAAAAGCCAAGCAAAAGTCAGTATGCCACTAATGAGATCTTCCACTTCATGTTGACAGAGTAAGTCACAAAGATTTAATGGATTTGAATGATTTTATCATTCCTAATATATAAACTGCAATAAAGGGTTGTGAGAGAGCATAACATTCTATATCATAAATAAACTATTCAGTGATTATATTCTTGACTATAGATTAAGAAAATGAACCTCCCACAAAAAAAAAAAAAATACATTGTATCATCATTGACTTGAAAGGTAACATTTTTCTATGGACCCTTGAATTTTTGTCAAATATTTTTCTATATACTGGCTAGTTCATTTCATTCAAGGAGCAGAAAAGAATATGCAGAATTCAACAAAAAAAGGTTTAATCAGGAGATGTCATTCCACTAAAGAAGAGAGTTCTTTTAAAATATAGCATCACTCTTGACTTATGGTGTATCATGAAAAAAAAGTATTCTTTTTATGTGCATAAATGTTTGTCTCCTCTTTTTCTGATTTATCAATAAAATTGGAGGAATAAATAAAGAAATTAGACAATATTTCTTATGATATTGTGACAAAATAAAATTAAAAAAAACTTTTTTTTAAGGGGATCAAGACTGTTTATACATAAAGTGCATCATTTTGAATGTAAATAAATATTCTAATCATAAGTATTGCATTTCTTGTATATCCTTAATGTGCTAAGGAATGAAAAAAAAAATGATTATACATACTGTTATATTTGTGCCAGCAATTTTGTTAATTCTATGCATATGTTCCTTGAACTTAGGCCCATGGGGGTCACTTTCCTAATAAAAAGAAGAAATGAATGTCAAATAAAAGAATAAGAAGGTGGCAAGAAGCAGGGCATTTTAGGTAGGAAAATGACAGCAAAAAAATAATTGAAAAAGAATGACTGAAAAGAAGAAATGACTGCACATTATGGGGAATAGACAGTAGCAGAATACTAAACTAAAAATTCCAACATACTCTATTTAGAATTTCCAAGCAAGATTTTTAATTTGGAGTTTTAATTTAGGTGTTGTGAAAAATAGAAAAAAAAACTCTTATTCATAGACTTTAGTTTCATTTGACAATATCCAAGTTTTAAAAATGTCACTTCTGTTTATATAAAATCAGAAAAGTAGGAAACAATTCAACAATATACACAATACACAAATGATAGTATACTACATATCACTGATGATGTGACAATAGTTCAATAAATTTTACCAGATTTTTCAATTTTTGCATTATTAGCTAAGTTACTGTAACGTCAAGTAACATTTTGCTGTAATTAAAAAATTATATTTACAGAATGTGTGCAAAATTTATAAAGACAAATGTTTTGAACAAAAATTGAAAATTATGTCATTGTAGTGCTGACAAAGTTCTAAAGACAACATGAATGTGAAATATATGTCCCATGTTCTGAAACTAGTTTTAGAATTTGTTCATCCATAGATTATATGATCTAATGTATTTCTTCATATGAAACATACTATACAATATAAGTCCAGTTTTATTGGTAAATTACAGTCTGCTAATGTCAACTTTCTTCTTCAGAATGCTTCACAAGCTTTCAATCAGGTGAATAAACTGACCACTTCAAATGAGCATCTTTATCCAGATCATCATTCATTTGCTCTATCTTGCATTCAAAAATTGTTCTTCATCCATTCTCTTTCCCTATTTCATTAAAGAAAGCCTAGTGATCAGTTTCATGTTTTTCAACTTGATTTAGGAACTTTTTTCAATACTTTTTCACTGCCACAGCATCCAAAAAAGATGTTATGCAAATCAAATTTACACTGTAAATATATTATTTAAAAAAAATAATTAGCTCTAATTCATACAGTAAAAGAAGTTTTTATAAAGAAAATTCAAAATTTTATAAAATAAGCATAAAGTCAGATTTTTGTTACTGTATCCACATTTACTTAATATCTGAAAAATTAACCAGTACATTCAATGGAGGTTTTAGAATAATATTTAAAGATCTGCCTTCCATAATAAAGCCAAAATATTAATTTCAATAGATAGTTTGTTTTCTCAGAAAGAGGAATTATATCACAATGAATCAAAATCCATACAGCAATCTAATTGTACTTACCCGACATTTTGTGACATGCAAATGAGCATGAATCATTTCATGCTGAAAAAAAAAAAAAAGGGAAATTAAACGCTAAATTAAGTTAAAGAAAAATAAAATTACTTTAAAAAGGTATAAAAATTTTAAATATAAAATCTGCTTAGGAAGTTTATTAAAGTGATTTATTTATTAAAAAGCAACAAAATAAACATAGTTATAACTAATTAAAATTGATAAGAACAAAAGATCTCTAAGAGAAGTGATAGAATATATCTTGCAAATGTTTATGTTAAACACTAAATTTTTAGATTATGCTAATGTGAATAGAAATAATAAAAATAAATTACTTATGTTTGAATTTCATCACACTATAAATGCATTATTATTATGATATATAAATATACATGGGGGGAAAAAAGGTGCTAAAATATGTGTGTATATATTCATGTACAGATATATAGGAGTAGGCATATGTGTACAAGTATTCATAAAAAAGGCTCTAATATATGTATATGCCTTGGCAGGTGTGTATGTATATACAAGTATATACATATGAACACTAGTTTTGGTGTATTGATTTAAAAGAGACACCAAATGGCTCTAATATATATAAACAAACAGGCAGACAGACAACCACTTTCTGTGGTCTGACAATAGAAGCAATAAGCTAATTTGATTTATGGTCTTTACTTATCCTCAAAGACCCTTACACATTTTCCCTTACATACAGTTTTGTTGTTCTTTCATTCTAAACTGAAGAAGCAAGAGAAAGCAGATGTTTATATCTTTTCCACAGTCTCATTATCTTCACTTTTGTTTCAGATACTATTTTACATTTTACAAACACAAATATATATATTTCAAATATAATATTGAATTATGTTGCTTGATAATTTATAATTGGCACACCATTGTTATTTAAAGACTGACCAGAAAAGTGGGATAAACTAGCCAAAATAATATTATAAGCTTTCTAACCAAAGTAATATTAAAAGCTTTGTCTTTTAGATAAATAACCAAGATTCATGAATATTTCTGTTTTTTGATTTGTTGTTTTAACATGACTGGTAATCTTACCTCATTTAATCATACTTGTTATAAAACCCAGGTGTTGTGTGTGTGTGTGTGTGTGCGTGTGTGTCTGTCTGTACGTTTATATATTGGATCGGATTTCCTACATTTTTCAACCAATTTCAACAAAACTTCACAGGACTACATAAAATTACCTTGCGGTGGTTCTGACAGCACCAAAAATTGGAAAAACACAATTGTTTTTGCACAAAATCAATTTGAAAACACGATTAAGAGGCATCGTGAGAATGAAAGGGGGACAACTCATATCGAGTTATACTTATTATAAAACCCAGGTTGTTTGTGTGTGTGTTCGTTTATATATGGGATCGGATTTCCTACATTTTTCAACCGATTTCAACAAAACTTCACTTTTTTTTTGGCAGGTAGTGTTTCTTATTGTCTTGCACACTTTTTTTATTTTTAAATTCAGAATGCTTTAAAAATTCCATTTACAAGACAATTGTTTATAATAAAATTCTACTCAATCGGTAGACAATTGAAAACAATGTTTTTTGTTTGAGTTTGGGTTTGACCAATTCGTAAAAAAAAAAAAAAAAAAAAAAAAAAAAAAAAAATAATTAAGACATGCGTGTCCATCAACCTTAAACAATAATCTTTGTCAATTTTATTTTTCAGTCTTTATGATGGTCGATACTTGATCTATCTCTTACTGTTACATCCCAGGCAACGCAGGGCTCTACTGCTAGTGTTGTATATAATTTACAATTATAAGGTTTATGAAATTCTGACATTAAATGTTATAATAATTATTTGGACTTATATTTTCAAACCAATTGAAATGTTGTGATAAAAACGTGTAGATACTGGCCTAAATTATTAATGTAATTAAAATGTTTTATTCTTATATTGGTCCATCCCATGGCTCCATGTTAATTCACAATGGAATAAAACAAACAATTTGAATGCCCAGTCTGAGTAACCCATGCATGCAAACATAAAGCCAGCTTCATCAAGTAGAAATATTGTCTAGAATACAGTTTATAACAGATTGGTGTCTTTAAAAAAGTACTTACCAAATAATGCATGATTTTTGAATTTTGCAAATCCAGATCACTGATTGAAGAATGTTTATTCAGAAACAGCATTCTTAATTTTATATATGCTTTTTCAAAATTGAAAAGATTTTATTTACAATCCATAACTTTTTCAAATGATATTAACTGTTTAGTTGAGTGCCTCACAGTGAGATATAGCTGGTCTGATTAACCATAACTACTGAATAACTTTAAGCAATACTGGTTTTCTCATACTTGTGGCATTGTGCCAAACAACAACTATTTAGTTTTAACAGTGCATTGTGTACAACTGTCTGATTGTATATGACAAAATGCTACTGATGAAGAGATGACAATTTAAAATGTACTCATAAAAACCATTTTGTATAATGTCACAAAGAAATCTTTTCTCAATTGCACATTCTTAAATATCACATTTTAAAACTACGATTTTTGTCTTGCACTTTTATCCTGATTATGAAAAGTTTTTTCATAATCAGGATTCAGTTTAATAGTTAATGTATGCAAGACAGATTGCCTATTCAAAATCTGTTAACCAAGACCTATTTTTGACTTTTCCTTTTGAAAATAAAATAAATATTAACTGTTTATCATTCCCATCCTTCTCTTTTTTCTTTTGTTTAGAAGAGATTACCATTTTGTGCAACATTGAACCAAAAAAGACAACATATTTTTTAATGGATTAAAAAGAAAAAGAAAAAAAAGGAGGAGTTGTGGAGAGCCGTGATTGCCAATGTCTTGAATGAACATGGCACATAAAAGAAAAAAGAAAAAAAAAATGTTTGCTGTGCTTTTTCCTGCTTTAAATTATTCATGAATTAATGAAAAATAAAGTATTCATCAGAAAGACATTGTTTTCTTTTCAAAAAACATTGGAAGCATAATGATTTGCAGTTATAAAGTGCAATTGTTAATAAGACAAATGATTTTGCCTGTGATTGATAGAAATACTGTAGAGAAAGTTTAAGTTGTATGAGGTCATTTCATGAGCAGAATGCTGTGAGAAAATTGAAATCTTAATGATGACAGTTTATCAATAAGAAAACAAATCACTAATTGAGGGTCCTGAAGAAAATTTTTGAGTTGCAGCAATATGGATTGAGAGACAAAAAAAGAATGGAAACATGAATGTCAGTTTGTTCACTTACCAGCAGAGTCTGAACCAAATCTTTGCGAGGCCTGAGTTTGAGAAGAGGTTCACTCAATCTGATTGAGCAAGCACCTCCTTTGCCTTCTAGTGGAGCCATGAGACCAGCACAACTGTTGAGGAAAACAAAGACATAAGGAAATCAATAACAAATTATTATTGGATTTTGTATTTAAAAAGCATAAAAACAATAACACATTTACCATTACATATTCAAAAATTACAGTAAAAGAATGTTGTAACTTTATTTGTCCAAAGCTGAAGTTTATAAAACATCAAACACAAAGAAAGTCACCCAAACTCAGTGTACATTCATGCAATGGATTATGTGAGGAGAAAAAATACCCTGTCAAATTTTTGAGATAGAATATTTTCAAGACTATAATCCAGTTCTTTGTGAAAAATGGATTAAGAAACTTATTACATTTTTTATTTTTAGATTTAACTAAATGTATCTTTTTTTCTTTCTAATTTACGATTTTCATGGAAATTGCAAATTTTCATAAAACATGCCAAAAAATGTAAGAGATGTAGGAGGGGAATTTTGGTGAAAAAAAAAAAAAAAAAAAAAAACAAAAAGAAAAAACAAACAATCAAAAAACACAACATACATTTTCAATGACAGAATAGGTTAATTTTTCTAAATTTTGGGAAAGTCTTACTTATTCTTGACCCCAAAATCTTCTTCCATTTCGACTTAAATGAAAAATTACAGAATCAGTGTCAATATTATTTTATGTATCATGACAAAAATTAAATAGCAATTTTACAATCATAGAATAAGATATATTTCTTTCCACTACATTACTGAAAGAATCTGCAATACCAAAATAATTTTGTAGCACTTCCTTAGAAATATCCTAATTCCAGTGGGTTTGAAAGTCTTACATTTGTCAATACAAATAAGTGAGAATTTGTTGCAGATGGCTGAAATTGTAGTGAGCAGATGGGATTGTCACTGGGATTATCAAAAAGACAAATTTTCTACAACTGAGAAAGGAGTTAAAAATTGAAAGTTCAAAGAGGCAACGAGAAGAAAATTACAAATAGCTTTAACTTCTGCATTTTCATTTAGTGAGCCATACTGAGAAACAGTTTTGATGATTGGTGACAAGAGTTTTTTTTCCTAAGCTTTTACTTCTGCAGAATGTAAGGGACAATAAGTTGTTTCAGTCCATGGTATTTTCAGCATCCGTCTGTAAAATCATATTACTCTTGCTTCAAGTCTCTTATTCAGCTGTGAGGAGATTATTCAGCATTCACTAACATATAGAAAGACCGATATTACACAACAGTTCAATACTTTTTCCTTCGTTTCTCATGAAAGTTTCTGTTTTCTTAATGTTTTGCTTAGCTTTTGGAATGTGCTTTTAGATTTAGGTGTCACATTTTCCGTTAACTTAAAACACTTCCAAGATATTTAAATTTTTCTAATTACCTGATTTTAGTGTCCCCAATTAATTTGTAATTTACATGTTGGGCTGTTCTTTTTGCCAACAACCATACATTCTGTTTCTTACAGTTGATGTTTTTAGTCCTATCTTCTTGCTTTCCTTTACTATCTTCCATAGGAGTTCATGTAGTTTCTTTTCTGTGTCTGCTATCAACACTGGGTCATTTGCATATCTAATATTGTTAAGATTGTGACCGCCAATGATGAATTCTGGTGAATTCTCCCAGTCTCGCTGTGTGTAGTGTAAAGGTTGAGTAAACAAATGTTTTTGCATAATTTATAAAACATAGGTAATACTAATAAGATATAAAAATTGGGCACTTCGACGTGAATGGTTAGTAAGCTTGTATGGCGAGGGCAGGCCAATTACGAGTGAGTTTGATCCTCACTAGGTGATCTATATACTTATGGTTATATGCCTCAATTAGGGTAACGCTTAGTAAAAAATCACCATCTCAAAATTAAAAAGTAATTAATCAGCTAAAATCAAGATCAAAAATGAAAAAAAAAAGAAAAAGAAAGCCACCAACGACTCACTACACTAAAACTCTTTTATTTACAATTTATAGAAATTATGCAATAGCAATATCATCTGCTCGTCGTAAATACCAGCAAAAAAAACAAACATACAACAAAAATAATTATTTCTTTTTTATTTATAATTTCATTTTTATAATTTTTTTTTTTTAATTTTTTAGTTTTTGAGCTGATTTCCTTAAAAGACTCAAGGCAACAAAAATTTAAATTACAATTGAATAATGATTAATCATTTATGTTGATGACTTCTTAAACACCTTCTGTCTAACTTGTTCATTTAATAATTCTAAACTTTACAGTAATTTTTTTTTTTTTTTTTTAATAAACTAAGGTAAAATTAACAATTCCTAATCCGTGGATTCGATTAACCGGTCAACACAGAAATAAACAATTAAGTTTTTAACCGCTTTTAATAATTATTCCAATTATTTTGGTTTGGGAAATATCATTCGCGGAAGAAAGATTCTTTTGCTTTATTTTAGTTATACCTTCTTAATCTAAACTATCAACATTTTCCAAGTAACATTTGAAAGCTTATATCTATTAACAAAATAAACGAACAAGGTTTTAAGAAGCGACGAGTTTATTTATACTTACGATGTCATCCGTTTGCTCCATTTCAGTTCAACACGGGTCATCGTACCACCAAAAAAGGTTTTATCAAACTCTTGAAACATAGCGAATATATCTGGTGTAGGGTCTAAGTACTCCCAAGCCGGGTCTACCAATGACATTTTCGATGTATCCATGATTCTTTCGGTAAAGATGAAGAAAGTTTCTATTAAGAATTATTATGACATTCGTCTTCGCGCTCGGTAAAAATAGGGTGTTTAAAAAAAAAAAAAAAAACAAACAATGAGGGGGACGCTACTCTGTCATGACAAATTTCTTCTTTCTGAAGAGTTCTTAGAAATTTGAAAAAATGATTATTGCTAAAAAAAAAAAAACCCAAAAACTAACGTTCCCGGCCTCTTTATAGGACTCGAGGCGGAATTATTCTAAAAAGTTTACTTTCAGCTGACCGACCCGCTTCCTGTACATTCTCCACTAAGCTTAAAGAGGGGGTCTGGGTCTAAGTCAATTTCTGATCCCTTAGGCGTCCTTAAAAGGGAACAGTACAATTTCTGGCACTGCTTAGCTTAATGAATGTACGCGCAAACAATTTCCATGTTAATTTTGTTGACTGAGTTTGACCTTGTGCCAAACCCAATATCATCGTGTCAGGGTAGGTAAATAAAAAACGCTGGCACAAACAAATAAATACAGTTTGAACAACAACATAAATAAATTATATATATTTTAATTAATTGCGTTTAAAATATTCTTCATTATAATTTTGTTTAGTAATATCAGTGTTAACTAAAAGTTGGTGAAAATATAAAAATGCATTTTAAAGCCATGCATAACCGTATTTTGTAAAACTAATAGTTAAAACCACTTGGGGCATCAGGGAGGTAGTTGTACAGAAGGATGTTGAGAATACTATGATGGAACTTGTGAGCAACAATGAAATATTTTTAAAGAAAGTGGAAAGGAAAAGGATACTTGGTCGGAAAGAAACAGTTGAAATTTCTGGGAGGCATTAGTCACATGAAGCTTAATGGTTAAAACTCACACCAAGAAGATTGATGGAGGATGATAATGATGAGGAAACAGGTAATTTTAACAAAACAAGATCAGGAAATTATTCATGAATTTACATGCTTGAAGTAGTGTCAGTAGCTTGTTTCAGGAAAATAAATCAGAATTCTTAAAGTTTATAGTTTTAATGCATCATCATGTAGAGAAATGTTCACACAACAAATTAAATGATTTGACAAAATAATATTGAAAATGTTTAAGACAAAGATAAGAGAATCTGTTTCTCATTGAAAGGATATATGATTTGCATATGTTCAAAAGTAGACGAAGAGAGATAGTTTGAAATACTTATGTAGCTTTTTTGGATTGTTAAGAGAAAATTCTTTGAATTGTCGTGTTCTGATTAGAGGCCAATAATATAATTAGCGAATAATTTTACACTGGTGAGAACTTCAACATTGGTTACAAGGAACAGAAAAGAAACTTTTCACATGACTTCAGACATTCTTCCCTGATTAGTTAAATTTTTCTCCTCATTTTATATAAAAAATAATTTTGTGTAGGCTTGTGGAATCTCCCACAACACAACCAGCCTTTGTAGGAAATACACTCTTCCTATCTGGTAAGCCAAATTCTACTTTCATACAATATAACAAGTATTCATTGGTCAATCACCTCCAATCTGGCTTGCTGATTGGTCAGTTCTGACCAATCAAACCGCCTGCACGTGACCAATCTGTTTTCCCGCTCATATGCTGGGAGCCACTCAGCCATTATATAAACCGAACACGTGTGAACCTTTTGAGTAGTAGTAGTTACCAAGTTTCAAGATGTAACCTTCACCAACTCCCGTCTTCGTCATTGCTGACCAGACGTTAAAGACAATTACCAACATTCACAAACTCTGAAATCACTCCAGAACTTTAACCAACTTTAGACAGTCAGACCTCCACACCTAGAGAGATGCCCATCAATTCCACGCCAGTCAAAACTCTGATTTTGCTACGCAAAAATATTCTCTGACTCAGCAACCTTCGGGCACACTCTATTTCTCTCTAGAACATTTCTCAAACTTCACTTACTATACTTTCAAAGTGATATTTCTCACTACATAACAAGTATCAATAACTAACAATCTATTTTTCTCAAGCATATAAAGGTACGCAACTTTGAACAACTTTGAATATTTGTATAAACACACTTAAGTTCTAATCAATACCTGCAAACGCACCCAAACATTCACAATAACACAATACACAATTAAATACACTAATCCTCATTTATCCATCAAATCTTAAACCCACAGTATATTAAATTGTATATAAATTGATGTTATTGTTATGCATTCAACTTTTGTCTTGTTTTCAACTTTATTTGCATGATTTGTTCCAAGTATTTGTTCTAAATAATTGTTGTGGACGAATGTTGTAGAACACGGCCTCGAAATTCCTTCTGATCAATTTAAACACAATCACCAGTCTGCAACAGGCTCACTTCATTCTTTTCTGCTTCTTCACGGCTGATTGGCTTATTTCTGTGAAGGCAAGATTTTCATTGGTCCAAAAACAATTTCACATAGGCTTGCAAATTCTTTTTCTTCTTCTCAGCTCACTGGTCAATTTCTGTGAAAGCAAGATTTTCATTGGTTCAAAGAAAATTTTCCATAAATGTTCAAATTCCTTTCCTTCTTCTTCAGTCCTCTGAAACTGAAGACAGTAGGCGAAGAGTTATTATTTCATATTCACTACAACATAATGAGGAGAGAGAGAGCATGGAGAATTTGAGATTCACAGGATATAATGAAGGCAACAGAGGCAGAAACAAACTGCAAGTAACCTACAAATCTACAATCAATTGAGGTGCCAAATATCACCTCTTGTAGTTTTCTTCTTTGTGCTGTATTCCTTCAGAATATTGGCAATCATCACTCTCCACAATTTCCTGTCCTTTGTAGCTCTTAATAAACTTTGTCTTTTTGTTATCTCTCCTAAACTTTGCTCCACCATCCATTTACACAAGCTTGCTAGGTAGGTTATTTGTTGTTTCAATCTGTCCTTTTGCTTTATGTCCTGTGAGTATCAAATTTTCCAAGCCTTCTTTCCCCATTATATATCCTAGAAATTTCAACTATTTCTTCCTGATGTTAAGTAAAATGTCCTATTTGTTTCCATTTTCTCTAAAACTTTGTTGTTGCTTACATTTTTGTTCCATAGTATTCTCAGCATACTTCTGTAGAATGACATTTTTATTGCTTCAAGTCTATGTGAGGAGATTGTCCAGCATTCATTGCCATATAGGAAGAGTTATATTACATAAAAGTTTAGTACTCTTTTCTTTGTTTCTAATGAAATTTTTCTCTTTCTTAATACTTTGCTTAGCCAGCAGTAGCAAATACCAAGTGAGGTGTAACGTATTGCAGGCATTGGTGTTTTTGTTCAGTATTTTCACCTGTTGTTGGTCTCTGGATGTGGCCATCTAGTGTTTTATCATTGTGTACCACTAGGATGTGATTATGGTCCTGTTTATCTTGAGACTTTCTTGAAAAGCAAAAAGATATAAGGTAGAAAGATTAAACACAAAAGCAAAAAGATATAAGGTAGAAAGAATAAACTGCCAACAATTTAATATAATCTCTCTTGGTTGATTTTCTACTAAGAACTCGCGGTATCAGTAAAGGATTATCTTCAAGGTTAGATGTTTGTGTCTGTTGGAGTTTCTTTCATCTTGAGGAGAGAGAGATAACATTCTCTCTGGATTCAACAAACAATTCTCAGCATGAACTGTGAACTCAACTGTACAAACTAAATAAAAAATCATGGTCTTTGACTTATATAATTGTTTGGAGGAATGACACTGATGGATATTATCTTTAAACAAAGAACTTCCTATCAGGAATATACATGGCTATATTTTAAAGTACCTCTGATCAGATATGACTCTTTCAAAATTGCCTTCATTTAGATTATGGGTTCACACAATTTGATAAGAATCAATGTAAATTTGGCTGAATAGTTTGTTTATTTTGTTTGTTTTAATCATTTCATCCTAAGCAAGGGATGCCACTAATATACCAGGAGTGAAATAGAGTGAGAAGACTTTAGTGAGGAGAAAGGATGATAAAAGAACCTATTCAAAAAGACAGAGTATGGTGATTGACTTTGCATTTAAATTTTTGAACATTGTAGGTGGCAGTGGAGAGAGTTCCACAGGCAAGAAGTGCAAAAAGAATAAACTGTTAGAATAGAAGTGGTGGTTACATCTCGCTATTTCAACGTAAAATGATAATACCTAGTTGCCAATCTAGTAGTACATTGAAATTTATGAGGTTGAGATACCAAAAAGGAGAGCAAGGTTAGGGAGAGCTCAGAACAATTGCCATGAAAATATTTATGGAAAAGACGAAGAGAAGCCACTTCATGGTGGTGGGAAAGTGACTGAAGGCTAGATGCCAGGTGAAGACTGATAATATATTACAGACTGTTTGGATTTTGTCAAGAATCTCAAGATATATTACAGGACCTCCAGGCCAGATATAGCAAGATATTCAATACACAGACAAATAGTAGATTTATAAATAATAAATAAATAAATATAGACATAAATAAATATAAATAATAAATAGATTTATAAATGTACAAGGTGAATTGTGGTGAGGAAAATTGTCTGACACAGTAAACCAACTTTCCTAGCAGCTGACTGAGCAACTGATTCAATATAATCACTCTATTTCAATGGAAAATGTGAGACCAAGAAAGTGCAATGAGTTACTCTTCTGAGGGAAGGCAAAAATGGTTCTTTACAATAATTTAAAAAAATAGGAGTCTTGTTTCAGAGGCATCAAAATTTACAAGCTATTTCTTGCTCTAATTGAAAACTGATTGGAGGTGTTTTTTGAGAACAGTTACCAGTTTGTTGGATCTATTGGCCTTATAAAAACAGGAGTAAATAGTTGTATCACTGGCATAAATACCAAATTAGGAATTAATGACATTGGAAAGGTTATTGATGAAGAAACAGTGCAGATCTGAGGAAAAGAGCCCTGGGAGATCCCTGCATTAATATTAAAGGATCTAGAAACATGGCCGTTCAGTATGACTTTGATTAAACCATTTGTTAAGAATGATTGGATTAAGTCAAATATTCAGCCAGAGACCCCATAAGCCTTGAGTTTATGAAGAAGGCCAGCATGCCAAACCCTGTGAAATGTCTTTGAGATATATAAATCCAGAGCCTGAGCCTCGCTGTTCATATCTAAAGCTTGATAGACAAATCTATATAAAGCACAGTGTATGTGTGTCTATCCATTTGTTTTTGTCATCTCAGCAAATCATATACAACCTGAAGTAACAGGTAGTAACTATTGTAGTTATATGAGATTAAAAATTAAATAACTCATTTAAAGTTAAATATCAAACAGAAAGGTTTAAAATATAATTTAATAAAGGTTTAACTTTTGTCGCAATTGCAATTGATATCAATCATAATTAAAACTTAAGTGGGGTCATGGTATGTTGCTCATATGTTTTTTCTTTTTCTAGCATGTTTAACATGATATTACATAGTTAGGGTTCCCTAATGTCTTTTAAGAGTGATTTTATGTGAAGGGATAAAAAATGATGATCTTAAAAGAAAATAAAAATTGCATGCAGAATAAATGTAAACAAACTACAGAGATTGGTTGTGTATACAAAGAAAGATTATGCCAAATTAATGTGTTGAATACAGATAAAATGATTTTATTATTTTTAAATTCTTATAACTTTTACATACATAGGATGCTGAAGGTAAAAGTGAGAAGTGCAAGAGAAGAAATTGTTAACATAGAACTTACGGTGGTTACAACTAGCAATTTCAACTAAAAAATGATGAAACCTAGCTACCAATCAAAGTATATATTTATAACAAAGTATATATTGGTGTCATTAATGTAGTAAATAAACTTCCATTAATATAACATTTAAAACTGCAATTTATTTAAATTTTTTACAACTAAAACTTTTGTTTGCAAAGGTGCAATTTGATTTTGTGGATGAATCTTCATAACTTGTGTTTTAGATAGCAAAAATAAAAATACTTTAAAACCAACAGTAGCATGTAAATATAAAGTTTTAATTCTCAAAATTCTCTTTCATTTTTTGTATAAAAAATATGATTTTGAACGAATTGAATAAAATACAATCTAAAATAAAATAAAGTAATATCAAATAAAACTTACATCATTGTAGTTAAGATGAAAATTTAAAAAAATAAAATCATTATGTTTTGCGAAAACTTTTAAAAGGAGAAAAATTATATATTTAAAAAACAATTATCTATTTTCCTTATGTATTGCATTCAAATAAAGATCTTTAGTTATAGTTGTCGTTCTTTGGCCTCATGATGATTATGTCATTTCCTGTACAGATATGAAATTAACTTACCGCTTTTTGTTCTTTTAATTCCTGCACGTAAGTAAATTTAAGAATTTATTATTATTTTATTTTATTCAAAATTATTGAACTTAATATTGAAAGATTTTACTTAGTTTTCCACTCTTGCTTCAGTACAACAGCATTATTGCTTGATAAACATAGATTGAAGAACGAACTAGTGAATGTTTTTAAAAATTACCGTAGTTCCATGTTTTTAAACGGTAGTTCTGTTTTTGTAGTTTTAAATGATAGAAGAATTGTTCTTAAGTTTTAAAAATTTTCTCTTTAATAAAAACTCTAAAAAATATAATTATATTTTTTTAGAATTTTGAAACTAACTTTTGAAAAATTAAATTCTTTTTTATGAGGTGAACATTTTTAAAAGTAATAAATTGATCAAACAAAAAGAAAATTGTTAAAATTATTTTATCCCCCCACAAAAAAAATCCGATGCAAATTTAAGCGAATAAGAATATTATATGTAAACATTCCTCGTTTATTTATTGATCGAGTTTTCTTTATTGCTTTAAAACGATTTTTAATAATTTCGATTATTGCACCAAAATGTGTGTTTTTTTTTTTAATAAAGGAATCTATTGTTTCGTGGAGTTCTGATATTTATATATTTTTTTCCATATATTTTTGTTTTCGGACTATTATAAAATTAAAAACTTTCAGATTATTTTTCGACCTATCTCAGCTATATCTTGCATTGCAATAGTTAATGATTTTTAAAATTTACGTACTTTTTCTGTTCTACATTTTTTTCTTTCTTTCCCCAACTAAGTTCACAGTTCACACATTCACGATCTCTAATTATTTAGACTGGCATTTTCAGGCAGATTCGGACTTTTTTGCACATTGAATATTTTTGAAAGCTGAATTGAAATACAGAAAATAAACGCAGCAAACAGACAAAATTCATAAGACTATCATCCTTATTATTGTTGTCCATCATCGGGGGAAAAAAGTTGAACCGCGCTAAATCGGGATTCAAGAAAATTCAGTCAGTTTATGTGCCATGCGTGATTACACGCTTTGATGATTATGTATCTTTCGATACATATGACTGACGAGGCAGTTTAATTTAAAGTTTAAAATATCGCAGAAAAGCTTTTTTTTTTAACATGGAGGTGAGTGTTTTTATGAGGTGTTGACATCTATTGATAACCTGATATAAACATCAAATTTTAAGTGGGGTAGTAATTGTAGTAAGTAAAATTACATGACATACAATGAAAACGCCTTTTAGGATATTTTTTTAACTATCGAGTAATTTTGAAAATTTTAAGCTTTCTAATATTTTACGTAACTTGGCTTACGAAGACATGCTAGAAAATTACCGATAAATTTTAAATTTGCTATTGTTACTGCTCTTATTTTTTGTTTTGATAATGTTGTTGTGTATGGACGTCCGTATTTATAAAATTCGGCATGTTTATGCACACAAAAAAATTGAAAATTATTTTTTAAATACTGGGGATCACTTAATTATAATGTTTTCCATTTATGATTAGTAAATATAGATTTTACTTTAACAATATCACTTAATCACTACAAATTCATACAGAATTTAAAAGTTTATAAATTAATCAAAATTTTAAAATGAAAACAATTTTTTTATCGAAAAAAATTTTTTCTTAAGACAATATAGTGTTCATATTTTTATTGATAAAAGAAATTAAAGACATTTCTAATTAAATAATAGTTTTATTGCATTTTTTATTTTATGGTTCAGAGCAGATTTTCTGTAACTGAGGGTTTTGTTTGACCAAGAAGCTTTGATGGTTTACTTTAATTTCTCCTAGGACTTGTCCTTAATACTGCTACTGTAAACATTAAGCTCTACAAGAAAAAAAAAATTCTTGAAATTTCATTAAATTAAATGAAGTGTAGGATAACAAATGTGAAAAAAAAACCATTTTTATCAAGATTTTCTAAAAGAGAAATGTTTAAAAAATAATTTCATTTGTTTGTCATTAATTTCTGAAAGTTTCATTAAAATCTGACTATTTTGATTTTTGCAAGAATTTCCAAATCAGTGTGTTTTTCACTGCAAAAAGACACACAAATTTCCTATACTAATTTATAGCACCAAATTGAAACCAAAAAAACAAGATTTTTAACCAAAATTTTGAAGGTTCTAAAAAAGATTAAATTAAAAAAACTTTACATAAAAAAATCACTTAATAATAACACAAGATTTTAGCAATAAAAATTTCCCCCATGTAAAAATAATGTCTATGAATTTTCATGCTCCCTGGGAGATTGCATTTCCAACATTAATAATAATAAAAAAAAACTGCCTTGAATACTTACATTGGCCACACATACACCACACTTGCTTGCAGAGTGACTGTTGAAACTCTGCAATCCGTGAATGACCAAAATACAAATATTAGTGAATAATACCAAAATACTTTATAGTATCCAATGCATGGAAAGACTCAAAACCCTAGAAGCTATTATTATACAAAATAAACAACCCATATTAAATAAAATATTCACCACAGGAGACAGTATCTTGAAGTGCATATTATATAATTGATGTGTACATATATTAGTATTAAAAAATAAAATAAATCTCATTCTTTTTGTGTGGCCTTGTTCCCAATAGACATTACACATGACATCATGCTAGACCATTTCAAACTTCCAGCTTCCCAAAGAATACCAGGATGCAGACAAAGGAATTTTAATTACCTCACAGATATCACATTAGTTTTTGATAATGACTGTGATAGTTGAAAGTACTTGGTCAAAAATAACAAATATGCACTTTGAAAGTTTATCCACAATTTCAAGTACAATACTCAACACCTTATCCGAAAATTGGAAAAATATAATAAAAAATTATACTGACAGACGTTGTCGGTTCTTTCTAATAAAACTTGTTTGGAGATCTTCTCACTCCAATAATGCAATCACTAACTTATTGAAATATATTCAGGATTTACTGTACACACAATGTTATATTTTTCCCCAAATAAATAAAATAAAAATTCTGGTTGTAATTATTCAGTATTGTTCCAAGTGGAATGTGATGTTAGAATTAATTTCTGTTTTTACTCTGCCATTCATATTCAGCAGAGTTATTAATAGCTTATAAGTAAAATGTGTTTTAAAAAAGTTCCAAAAGAATTTAAAACAATTGAACAAACAATTCAAGATTTCAAAAGGTACATTAAAGCAAAACAATCAAACAAATTATGGTGCATACAGTGATGGTTTCTTATATCTTGTAATATTGGACAACACTATAAAATTTATTCTGCACTTCCAGACTTAATTTCTGTCATCATTCTATTTTCTGAGAAATTCCACAGTGAATAACAATTTTGGTATGTAAAGAATTTTTTTTGCAGCATCAGATATTTTCATAATAATGAGGGTTTGTTTGGGAATAAGTCAGTAACACAGTTACCTACAAAAAGCAAAAAAAAAAAACCCAAAACAAGCTGATTCTAACAATGGCACATAATATGGTGTCAGCACATTACTACCGAGAGCATGATCTGGCCATAAATAATGCAACCAGATCAATAAAAATTTCCTTTCAGTTCTTTTCATTTAAGGAAATATTTTCTTTTTTCTTCAGTTTTTGTTAAAACACATAGTAATTGAGTATCTTTTGTCAGTCAATTGTCCACTTACTTACCTGTTAGTTATTTCCCTTGTTTTGTATAAAACTACAGAATTTTGATCTGTTATCAAACACCTTTTCTTAAATGTCAATTTTCATTTTCTTTTTTAAAATATTCTCTTATTGATGTTTCCAGATCTGACCATGGCTGATCAAGTGAATGAATTTAAATTGAAAAATCCTCCAACAGATGGCATTTCAGCTGTTAAGTTTGGTCCTAATTCTAACCAGTTTCTTCTTGTATCCTCATGGGATACAACTGTACGACTTTATGATGTGCTCAGTAACACTATGAGAATGATGTACAATCATTCCAGTCCTGTACTCGATTGTTGTTTTCATGTAAGAATCACTCTAATTTTTAACTTAGTCTCTAAAATTTGACTTTGCTGTTTTCTAACCTTAGTTGTTTTTTTTTGTTTTTAATAAACTTTTAGAAAATAAAATTATTAACAAATAACTAGATGCAACTCATTGTATTTTAATTATAAATTGCTTTCTACAAAACAGTATCCTTTTCAGTGATAATCCTATTTAGATACCATGGACCTGGGAGATAGATAGTGGCAAACCAGTCTTATCCTATGTTAAAAATACTCTTTTATTGTGTTTAATAATTTAATGTTTTAAGAATGATTGATTGAGAAATAAGTCAATGTGCTACATTAATTATATGTGTGGTTAAGCAAATTTAATTGTGTTTTTGCTTTAAAATTGATTTCTATTTTAAATTTCAATTTTATGCTTGAATTTTAAATAAATGGGGAAAGTTAAATATTTTAATGTCAATTACTTAATCCTTTAACAGAAAATTTTGACTATGAAATTTTTCATCATTTTCACCTATGAAATTTTCAAGAAATTCCCTTTGTAATTGTCCTTCAAAGGTTTTTGAAAATTCAGCCAGTTATGTGCCATGCATGATACATGCTTAGGTGATCATGTATCTTTTGATACATGACTGATGAGGCAGATTTTTTCCCACAGTAGATTGCCATTTCTTTCTGCAGTAGACCAGTTGCCATCCAAGGCTATAGAACCCGGTCTGTCCTGCTATTTACTCATAGAAGAGGATTTATACCTTTCCCAAGCACGTAAAATTTTGAAAATTATATGGCATTTTTACAGTAATAATACATGAGATAGAAAAGCAGATATTTCAGTCTATATATGCAACACATTTGATTCAGCACATGATGTTAGTCTCCTGTTGAGAGATCTTTTACATTTTACAATCTCTTTTAGGGAAACATACTTTTCAGAATTGGTAGATTTAGTAGCAGCTCTATAGTTAAAATTGATCAACAAAATTGGATGCATTTTAGTGCAGCTGTTTGCATTTCCACTTTATAATGCCCTACATGAAATTTGCAATATTATTGCAATTAAAATTCTTAGGAAATATTTCTTTGTGAATTTGCATCAAATCTGATTTTTCATTTGTTCTGGAGAATCATAAAAAAAATTTAAATTCATCAGGTATACTTATCTTTTTCATATCTTGAAAGGGATGAGGTTTATTAAATTATGTTTTTGCAACTAAGATAGAGAAATGTGTTATTAGCTATATATTATAATATGTAAAACAAAAAGTTATATTTTTTTCTTATAGGTATTTGTTTCAGTAGGTATTACATATGATTTATTTCTATTTTTAGTAAGTAGAATCAGAAAGTGAGAAAAATTCCTCTGGAAAAAATTTTTTTTAAATGAACTCCAGCTTTGTCTTAAATGATAGCAAAATAATGAATGTTAATTATGCTAAAATTTTAAAAATAATTACAATTTTCCAATACTTTCCTTTAAAAAAAATTACTGATTCAGAATTAATATAAAAAAAAATAAAATCTCATGATTATAAGAAATGTAATGATTTTCTTTTGTATACAGATTGTCAGAAAAGTTAATCTTATTAAAACTGTAAGATGACTTTTAAAAAAATTAAAAAAATAAATCTAGTTCTGAATAGAGAAGAAAAAGGGCAATAAAAATGCTTTTGAAATGCTCTTATCTCTCATATTTTCTATGTTCATACATACATAGTATAGCAATTCTATGAGAGTGTACTGAAAAGTTGTCAGCCTAACCAAGAAGGGATTCCAAAACAATTCCTTATATTTGATTATTTAATCAGAATTTGAGAAGTGGGTCTAGTCAAAGTTTTCCCTACTCTCTGAATGTGATGACATAGTGTCAGGCTTTCAGCAAATTTATAAAATCAATGCAGGTTAAATTTTACCTCTCTAATTTTGCTTTGAAAAGCATTTTTCATAAGAATATTAATGATTTAATAAATGAATTCAATAATTCCATTATAAATATAATTAGTGTTTGTAAAATTGTTTAAAATATTGCAGAACTACTAACAAAATTAAACAATAATTTAAAAGACATGAATATGAAGATGCTAACAATTCTTAATTTGATCCACTTTCAAAATGGTCAAATGACCAAGTATCATCATTTTTTTTAATACTAGAATTCACCTGATACAAGGTTCGAGAGCCACTCAAGGTAGAAGATTACTGTTAAAATGATAATGATGAATGAGATGTGTGATATCAAGGATCGATCCTTGATTTAAAGAGGTTAAGATTGTAGTGTTTAGGGAAGCAACTATGTGGAGATTGTTCCATAAAGTGGCCATTCTTGGAGGGTGGGGAAGCTGAGTGGAACTTTCTTCTTATATTTGGAACACAGAGGATAATTTGACTCTGTGGAACTAGCATGACATGTTTTAGCTGTAAAGAATGGAGCTCATCTGATTATTGTCATTGAAATAGTGATAGAGTGGTGATAGCCTTGCAATGTTGCGTCTGTAGAAAGATGTTGCAAAGTAGAGAATAATATGGAATAAATATCAGCAAGGAAAAATAAACATTGAAATTTTTCAAAGATTTTCAATCTACATCTGTATAATAATGAACCATTTTCTGTTTGGATTTGTTACCATAACACATCATGACTGTACACCCTCCTCCCAATCTAGGATTTTATAAGCCAGCAGGATAAAATAATTTATGTTCAGGCTAATTAAATATTTAACACAGAGAATAGACATTAACATCCCTCCACTTTGACTTCTAATTGGAGAGAAATACTTATAAATTGTGATGTGTCAAAACTGGACTCGGGCACAATGTTGCTGGTTGAAAGGAAAGAGTAGAAATTAAAGATATCTTATCTAATATTTTAAACAATAGGAATTCAAAAGTTATGAAATCGGATCTTGATAGGAAGCAAAAATCATATAGCTTGTAGGATGAGTGATAAAATTGAACTGTCAAGGTTTGAACAAAATAAAATGGCAGTCAAAAGGCCAAGAAACAATAACATAGAACACGTGAATAGTTGAAAAGTGAATTATCCAGAGAAGGATAAGGTTATATAAAAACAATAAAGGACAATTATGATATTTGGTATGTGGGTTAGACCAATAACTTTTCAGCACCCTCTGATAGTTTATCAATATTTTCTTCTGGAAGATTAAGGCTATATTCTGTTATCCTAGGGTTATGAAAATTAACATGTCCATTGATGATGTGTGACAAAGAAAACATGATTTGGTGCTGAATTATAACTGAATTATTTTTCACATATAGAAAGCAACACTTGTCTCAGTAAAGAGAATAAACCATCAACATGGTGTTGAATATAGACAAAAGGAAAAGAGAGTAAGACCAATATGGCTAGTAAACAAGATGTTGGATTGAAAAGAGATGTGTAGGTCTGATAATGAGTCATCTCACGGCTTACTATATCTACTAGTCTAGCTGATTACTTTCACTAATCATTAGTGAACTTTTGTTCATCTGTGCTGCACATAGTGACACTTTGATTAAATGAAACTTGTGTTAATGTGAAGAGGCTGCAGATAACAATGAGTCATGCACAAAAAGTGGCACATCATAATGAGAATTTTATTCATGCAATACTGTTAAAATGTTCTAATAAACAAAAGTGTAAGGCAATTTCCAGTCCAGTTTGCAATCTAATAATAGTGTGGGGGTTTGAATTAATTCTTACTACTTCCTGTTATATTAAATGCTAATTATAGAGCAGAGTTTTTTTTAATTAACTTTTATCTTTTATAATATGCCATTTTATATTCATTTCTGACCATGACTGATCAGGTTTTTCAAGGGAAGTAACTCTAGACATATTAAATATTTTTAGAGTACTTTCCATTATTTTTTTCCATTTGCCTTTATTCTATCTATATAATGAATCATGTGATTTTGGTTTTTTTTTTCAATATCTTTCTTTTCACGGCCAATATAATAATGAGCAATCTGGTCTCAGATAATGAAAAAATCCGTTGTCATGGTAACATGAGTTATGCTTGATGCAACTTGAAGTAAACAGCATGTTTCTATAACAATGGAATTTAATAATTACTAAATAATACTACATGTAAATATGTTATTTAGTTTGTTTTATAGAAAATAATCATTGCTATCCAAATACATTCTTGGATTTATTTTTAATGGGTAATAACTACTTATAAATTCTATAAATATGCAACCACTTGACATCAAGCTTAATAGTGGCATTTAAACAAGTTTACTTCAAAATCTGAAATGTTCTATATTGAATATCAGTGAAATGGTTAATAATTGTTAATAAATGAGCATTACAAGATTTTGGTTTCAAAACAGCTTATTCTGATAGTTTGTGTTATATGTTTGTTGAAATTTGTGAATAAAGTGAAAAGATTTTTCAATCTTGGATTATATAATGGAAATGTTTTTGTTTTTTGTCTTTATGCAGGATTCTGTACATGCTTATAGCGGTGGAATTGATGACACATTGAAAATGTATGATTTTAATGCTAGTGCAGGTGTGTAGATTTTATTTTGATTATAAAGAATAAAAAAATACATAAATTTGTTAAACTTTGTGACTTAATGTGATGATACACTATGTCAGATTTTATTATATTTTCACAATAGAATTAGTATTACCCTATTTATATTGATAAGATTTTAAGGTTTTATTTATATGGGCAATGTACTGTATGAGCATCAGCTCATAATATCTGCCTTTATTAAAAGTATTGAGAACTTCTTTTGGAGATAGTTTGTTTTGTTTTACGTCATATCAACCTCATTAGGTCATTTAATGCTGACAACTTTTTTTTTTCCTGGTAATATTTTTGTTAACATTATTTTTTCAAAAACGTATGGCTGGTAACAATTTTTTTTCAAAAAAAAAAAAAAAAAAATGTACAGCTAGCAATATTATTTTTTCAAAAACATATCAGTGGCCTTGCTGTTGGACGTAGTTTATCGTCATACCCAGGATGTGGATGTAGGTTGTCATCATACCCAGGATGCGGAGATAGGTTTTATGATGCAAACAAAGGAAATGCAACACAATTTTTTATTTATGAAATAAATCCAAAAGAAACATAGATTTGATTGACACAATATTTAATATATGGAAATGAATTATTATTTTATATGTTAAATTGACTCAATGACATTCTATACCCTTTGTCAGTCATTAATTTTATTAGTTTTTTGCACTGTTTCAAATGTAACATTGCTTGTCAGTGATCTTTGCTTCTATGTTGTTTTTATTATCATTTCAAGAGTAGCGGTTTACCCCTTGATTCCTCTTTAGGATTGGGTTTTCTAAAGTCTCTTTCTTTCTCTTTCATTCCTAGTAGACCCTTACGTATTAGTCATATCATCGCCTTGGAGTGAATTGATTAAAAAAAAAAAAAAAATCTTTTCTTGCCTTGATTTGCAGTGATTTAATAATTCTTGTATTTTCTGTTTGCTCAGTATTCATGATTTTCAAAATATTTCAGAGACTACTGTTGGCAAACATGATGCTCCAATACGTTGTGTAGAATATTGCCCAAGTGTGAATGTTGTTATCACTGGTAGTTGGGATCAAAGTGTAAAGCTGTGGGATCCTCGTTCCCCCTGCAGTCCTGGAGGCCTGGCTCAACCAGATAAAGTAAGTCAACTGTATAATTTAAATTTATAACTAGTAAAATTTGCAATAATATAAAAAGAAAATTACTTTTTCTTATTTAAAGCAGAACAAGATGTTTTTACAATCTGTGTACATGAAGAAGGGAATCTGGTTTCCCTACAAAAAGTTGGACATAGACTTGTTTTTTTTGTGTGTGTGTGTGTATATATATATATATATATATATATATATATACTGGTTACTTCACTTTTTTTTTCTTGTTTTAGGTTTATACTCTAGCAGTGTGTGGGGATCGTCTTGTAGTTGGGACAGCAGGGAGAAGAGTGCTTGTTTGGGATTTGCGTAACATTGGTTATGTCCAACAAAGAAGAGAATCCAGCCTTAAGTTTCAGACTCGCTGCATCAGGTGCTTCCCAAATAAACAAGGATATGTTCTTAGTTCCATCGAAGGTAACACAAATTGTTTTCATTTGTTTCTACAATTCACAAATCTTCAACATTAAAGACTTTTATTTTACATGTCATAGTTTTTCTGTTTTTTCAGTTGCTGATTTCATTTTTATCCCATTTGAAGTTTTACTTTTCTTTTTAATAGATTTTTCTGATAATACATTAATAATGCATAACAATTATGGCAGTTTTTTTTGTTTTTTTTCCATAGAAAGGTTGATAAGCTTTAAAAAAACAACAATCTTTTTCAGAATATAAATGGGATGATTATAGTTAGGTATGGATATAGAAAGATTTGCCTTTCCTCAAATAAAACCAATTATCATAATATCTATTGCATATTTCTTTGTAAAGATGCTTCAAAATATAAAATTATCCTATAACCTTCTAGATTGTTGGGTACTATGGGATCCTTCATGATAATTCTATTGGGTTACATGGTACCAGTTGCAAAGAACAATCCCTGACTTGATAGTGTGAAGTCAGTACAAATTGTCTAAGCTAAGAATTTGACCATTGGTTTCATTTGCCATTCTTTCAGTTAATATTTATGCTGTCTTTTCATCTTCTGTTGAAATAAACTCCTTATTTTTAGGCTTTTTTTCATCTATTGATTACTGTATTTTTTATTGTTAATTAAAGTGCATTTCTGTATTGTAAAACTTAAAAAAATAATTACCATCATTGAAAGCTAAAGATTCATTAAAAAAAAACAAAGCATAAAGGTTTTAACATTTTTACTCTACATTTACTTCAAGGTCGTGTTGCTGTTGAATATCTTGATCCAAGCCCAGAAGTTCAGAAACGAAAATATGCCTTCAAATGTCACAGAATTAAGGAGAATGGTGTTGAGAAAATATTCCCCGTGAATTCTATTGCATTCCACAACACACACAATACATTTGCTACAGGTGGTTCTGATGGATTTGTTAACATTTGGGATGGATTCAACAAAAAGAGGCTTTGTCAATTTCACAAGTTAGTGCAACAATTTTCTATATTAATTTTGCAAAAGAAAAATAAACTTACTTTATCAAATATCACATTTAACTCTTACATCATACTATTAGAACGTTTTTATCCTTTTTGAATTTAGAGGAATGTAATTAGATGCTGTATGTTTGGTAAGAATGTTTTCAAACTGCACTGCTGGTTTTCTATCATGATTTAATATTCGTTTTTGATAGTATTGAAAAACTTTACCAAAAGTTAGAAATATTCTCAGATTTATTACTTATATGTGGTTCTTTCATTTTAAGTTTATGTATTTTTTTTTTTGCTTCTGTTAAACTACAAATACATTTTTGCTGATTTATTGTTTATTTTCTAAATTTTAACTTGTAGAATATCAGTGTTGAGAGGAAGTTTCAAATATTATTTTAGGTGGATGGGATTGTACATTCTACACTAGACCAAATCTGTTGAACATTTTTCTTTTTATTCGGCTTATTAACAACCAATGTTATTTAAATGTTAATTGGACTCAGTAGGGATTAATCCCAAACTGAAATGTTTAAGCTTATCAATTGAAGTATTAGGTTATATATAATCATGTTAATATCATCTTTTTTTTTTTTTCTTATTTTGTATATATTTTCATTGTAGGTATCCTACCAGTATTTCTTCTCTGGCTTTCAGTCATGATGGCAGTACTTTGGCTATTGCATCTTCATACATGTACGAGTTTGATGAAATGAAAGAGGTTCCAGAAGATGCTGTTTTTATCCGAAATGTTACTGACCAAGAAACCAAACCCAAATCATAAAACTCAACTTAGTTTCACTTTTAATTTTACTAAAAACATTTACTAGAAGAATGTCTCATCACATACTTTTCCTTACAACATCAAACAACAAAAATAAAACTAAAATTATTTACTTCACTTGGCATTGGTTTTGTTAACAAATATAGGCATTGTTTCATTATTCCTCTTTTTTGTTAGTCATCCATGTGGCATTGGGTTAATTCGTGTAGTGGGAATGCGTGATAGGAAGATGATTGTATTTATCTTCCATCTGTGAAGAGATTACTTGCTTTTCAGATTGCTAGTTTTTACTTGGGCTTCAATACTGACTAATTGATGGCAATGTAGAGTCCACAACTACCTTAACCATAACACAGGCCTTTAGTCATTCTCATTTAATGGGTATGGATACAAATATTAGTCAAGAATGAATTCCCACATAATAAAATTCATTACCACACGGATTGAGGAACCAATTAATAAGTCATATTAAATATACTTGGTTATCTGGTTGGAAGGAAAGTTCTTGCGGCTTGTAGAATATTAAATTTATTTAGAAACCACAAGAACTTACCTTCCAACCAGATATTTACATTTGCTGATCTCTCCTTTAACCTAACTCTCACAGTTCAATGAGGGAAAGACTGGCTGGTATCATTCAATACTTTCAAAAACAAAGCTACCATGTTCCATTGCTACCAAGCAGACCCTAAATTTGCTCCAATTCTGATGAGTGGTCATACCTTCAATGGGGCTCTTAGTCTTAAATTCCTATTGAGTCTAAAGTTCACTCCTCAAATGGAATGTGTATATTTGTGACATCACTAAAGATCCTGGAAAGATGGCTGGTTTCTTGTAACACTCTAGAAAATGTCTAACTCCTGCTAACATTCTTTATCTTTACAAGAGATAAATCAGATCAAGAATGGAGTATTGCAGCCATATCTGGGCAGCTGCTTCCCTGTTCTCACTTTCCAGCTTTGACAGAGTTCAAAAGTGATTATGCAGCCTTGTGGGTGATGATTTTTTTTCCCCACCCTATAATCTTTTTTTCACAGACTACACATTGTTAGCCTCTCATTATTCTATTGGCAAATGTTCTAACGAGTTACATTACTTAGTTCCACCAGCTCAGACCTTTACAGGTAGGACATGTCATGCCATATTCATAGTGGTAAATCAGCTTCATTCCCTTTATGTTTCTTTGCTGAGCAAAAAGTTTCACCCAGACAGCTTCTTCCCCAAGAGTATTACTTTGTAAAATAGACATCCGAGAGGATATTTCCCTGATCTCTACAATCTTAACTTCTTTAAGTCCAGAGTCAACTGCTACCTATCCTATATATCATCATATGCACTTCCTGCTTCCTTACAACAATTATACTCAGTAACTCTCTACCTTGAGTAGCCCTTGGGCCTTGTATTGGGTGAATTATTATTAGAAAAAGAAACATGATTTTTATGGCCATCTGCTTCAATGCTTAACTCAAACTATAAGACATCTTATTATGTAAATTAAAGGAAGAGATACATTTTTATTTGTTATCTATACTTAAAATCTATACTGTAATACAAACCTGGAAAAATCTGCCTATTCATTACCTTTAAAGTAGGTATGTTCATGAGATCGATAAAAAAATAGCATACCATGAATAAAAAAGGCCTTAAACTTGATGAAAATAATTTTTTATTGTCTAAATGTTAATGTTATTATCAAGAGGAAAGATCAAAGTATTTTTTTAATATTTTTTGGCATTTTTTTAATAATTTCTAGCACATCCAAAATTTTCTTTAAAAATCTTGAATTTTTTTGTATCAGAAAAATTGACAGAAAATCAATCATCAGCTGTTTTTTTTAACTTTTGTTTAGAAAAGTGAATGTCGCCGTTTAAAATTCATTTAAAAAATCAATTATGATTTTTTAAAAAAATAATTTTAAGAAAATTAGAAATTATAAAGTTTATTTAATATATTTTGAAATAAAGATTGCTTATTTTCTGCGCTGAAAAATGTTCTTTCAAATGGGAGAAACTCAGTCTGAACTGTGGTTTTGATTGACGAGTGACGTGTGTTATTTCATCACGCACTGACATTTTACATGAGGAAATTTATAGTACGGAAGGTCATAAGTTACAGTTTACATTTACGTTAACAACCTATTTACCTCGTTATTTTTAAGTAGGCATAGCATGAAAAAACGGCCTTAAACTTGACGAAAGCAGAATTTTATCGCCAAAATGTTTGTTACTATTAAGGGGAAAGAACAAAGTAATTTTTAATTATTTTTAAAAATTTTTCTGTCTTTAGAACGTTTTAAGTTTTGATTGAAAAATCTTGTTTCTCATCATCACCAAAACTAGTAAATAACATGGCAAATTTTTTTCTTACGACACATTAATTTTGAAAATCTTGCTAAAATAGAAATAATTGTCGAATTTTAATGAAACTTTCAGAAACTATTCAGGAATGATGGAAATTATTATTATATTTTTTTTAAAGTAATTTATATATATATATATATATATATATATATATATATATATATATATATATATATATATATATATTACCCCACCCCTAAATTTAATGAAAACTCTAGAAATTCAATGTTGAAGCACATAAGTTATTAAGGAAAACTATCAGCGCTCATTTTTTTTTTTTTTTTTTATATTTACCTTTACTATGCTTCATGGAAAAACATAATACTATAAAAAAATTAAATAAGACATGAAGAGTGAGATCAAATTTCATAAGAAAGATACCTAATTAATTACCTTATGAAATATCAGTAGTGTACATTGTATGGTATTTGGATTCCCACTCATTAATTTTGTTGATATTTCATTTATGGAAAAAATGACATAACTGAGATAATATAAAACTGAGATCATATAAATTTCATAAGATAGGTACATAATACAAGTTGAAATGCTAGACATTTTATTTTTTCCTATATAATCACATACACTTTTTATTTTATTTTTCATAGCCAAGTAAAACCAGGGGTTTAGAAAGTCAATGCAATCGTTATGAGATGTTCATGAATTTTTTTTTTTTTTTTTAAGTAAAACTTCTCCACACGTGTTTCGCCAATCATAAATGTAAAATTGTAAAGGCCGTTAACAGTGCTGTACAACATTTTTATACAAAATCAAGTCACGTGATGTTTTTATAGTATTATGATTCTTCCGTGCCTCCGTACATTTGATTTATAATGTTTTTTGTTGACATAGGACAAGGAAAAATAAGATTATTCTCATTGGTGGTTTGTAGATTGTAAAAACCTTGTGCTTTTTATAATCTGTACAGATACATGTACTTAAAAAAAACCATTAAATACAAAATTCGTCATTTCCACTAATTTTACAATATTTAACAACTTTATGTAAAAATAATAAAATAATTTATGAAATAACAATTCATTTAAAAATTCATTTTTCATCAAAAAAGTTTTTTGCCTTCAGAAATTATTATGCATATTGATAAAAACAAATAAAAGCAACTAAAAGCATTTAAAATTAAATAGTATCTTTGTTTTATTGAGTTTTGTATGTTACAATTGAAAGCTGATTTTTGGTTAATGAGGACGGATTTTTAAAAAAACAAGATTTACTTTCCTCAAAGCCTTGTGTTTTTAACTAATATAATGACTTGCGTGCTTCGACATTGAATTTTTAGAGTTTTCATTGATTTATTTATGGGGGTTAATATATATATAAAAAAATATATTTTTATAATGACTTTAAAAAAGAATAACATATTTATAATAATTTCCATCATTCCTGAATAGTTTCTGAAAGTTTCATTAAAATCTGACAATTATTTCTATTTTTGCAAGATTTTCAAAATTAATGTGTATCGTAAGAAAAAAAATGCACAAAAAATTTGCCATGTTATTCAATAGAGTTCCGGTGATGACAAGAAACAAGGCTTTTCAATCGAAAGTTAGAATGTTCTAATAAAGACAGAAAAATTTTAAAAATAATTAAAAATTACTTTGTTCTTTCCTCTTAATAGGAACATAAACATTTAGACAATAAAATTTTGTTTTTGTCAAGTTTGGCGTCTTTTTCATCATGCTATGCTCTTTTTTTAGCGATCTCATGTAGATACCTACTTTAAAGCAATGATTTCCAACATAGGGTACATGCCCCACTGGTGGGGCATGGTAATATTTTGGCAGGACGTGTGTATGATGTGCACCATTTGGCTTACTATAACAACAAAATAAGGGGGGGGGATTCGAGAATGAGTTATTAACACTGAATTGTTTTCTAGTAAGCTCAAATTTCACTTTGCATTATTGTTTCATGATTAAAATGATCAAAGTATATTACAGAATAAGCTTTCCTTCAAATATTTTATATTTCTACCTTTCAGTTCTTTATCATATGTTTTGAAACTATATATATTTAACTGTCTTTTCGTATTTTTAATTTTTCTCTTTCATGGATGCCATGGTCTTTGGAGCTTGTTTAGAGACTAAGTTAATAGCCTTTTAAGCTTCCTTCACATGAATTGCAGTAAAATTTTGAATATGTAAGAATTAAACATTATGGTTGGGGGGACACCAGTATTTTAGAAATACCAAAGTGGGGCATGGCCCAAAATTGGTTTCGAACCACTGCTTTAAAGGCTTACATATTTAAGGAAAAACAACGAAAAATATTATAAGCAAATGTTCATTGATATAGTTGATACACTTGTCAATAATAGCTAAAAATAAATTCATTAAATACACACAGTTCCTGAAGTACATTTAAAACAAATAGAATTTAATCCCAGGTAATTAAATGGGAATTTATTAAGCCTTGTTATTGTATTTCAAAGATGATTCTATTATCAGGAGTTGTAGGTACCTCCACTAATTCAAGGTTTAAATGAATTTTCATAAATGAAAAATTTTTCTTGACACTTTCATTTTTAGCTTTAATTGAAAGCTAAAGGATTAGCCAATTCAGTTTTTTGGCTAAAAATAACTGAGTAGCACCCTTTTTTTTTTTTTTTTTTTTTTTTTTTTT